TGTTTTCTTTTCACAAATAGAACAGTAAGGGGGACCAGCAGTTAGCATAATGGCTATGTTGCTTGACTCCCATATAGTCGACCGTGGTTTGAGTCCTGGACCCTGTGGCTTAAACTCACGCTGGGTTCGTGTGTGCATGCGTGCCCAAGATCTTGAGAGGAGAATGGAGAAGGGATTGCAGTGTGGCCATCTCCCCCTGGGGCGGGGGGGGGTGATTTCTCTCTTTCTCTCGTTCTGTCTCTCTCTTTCTGGCAAGTGCTCTCACCCTATAGCAAAAAAAACTCTCCATAAGAAGAAAAACAAAAACAAAAAAGAAATAGAACAGTAAGACTAAATGCTTGATTCCTTAGACTTGTGGAGAACAAAACATGACTTTGGCACTTGATGAATTGATTGCATGGTGATAGAAAGACACATGCACAGTTAAGAGAACTGGCAGGTGGATCGTGATAGTTGAGTTTTAGAAGTGCACAATTCTGTGGGTGCAGAAGAGAGCATTGTGTCCTGTTGAGGGAATGGAGAGCACTGGCATTTGGTTCAAGTTTCTATGTATCTCTTATTCAAAGATAAGTAGAAACATAACTAGCAGAGTTGAAAGAGGACTTTCTAGTCTAAGGGTCTAAAACTATGGTCCACGGGCCAAATCTGGCCTGATCACCAGTATTTATAAATGAACTTTTACTGTGAGATATCCATGCTTATTAAGTTTATTATGGTTGCTTTTACATTACAATGGGAGAGTTGAGTACATAGAATAGAGATCTGTGGCCCACAAAGTCTAGAGAAAAATTTTCTGACTCCTAATCTGTCAGTACACCAGGGCTCACCAATATAACTTTCTGCGACAATAAAAATGTTCTGTATCTACATATACCTATTGAACAACTGAAATGTGGCTAGAAAACCACAGAACTGAATGTTTTATTTCATTTCATTTTTATTATTGTATTTATTTTTATTTGATATTTGATCTCTTTTATTTGTTACTCCTAAAAAAACTCACCTTTGAATGGTCTCAGACTTAGCAATAGAAGCACACAGAGAAGACAGCTTTCATTTCTTGACAACCTGTTATTGGTATTTTTCTTTAGCCTCTTTCATCCTTTTTGGAGAGGTTTTTGCTATAGGGCGCGTGCACTTGCCAGAGAGACACAGAAAGATAGGGAGATAGAAAGCGAGAAATCACCCCCCACCGGGGGGTGATCTCTCGGGATCTTGGGCACACACGCACACGCGCCTGGAGTGAATTTAAGCCACCAGGTCCAGGACTTGAACCATGGTCGACTACATGGGAGTTCAGCGACATAGCCAGTAGGCTAACTGCTGGTCCCAGCCTCTTTCATTCTTTCAGCCAAAAGTTTATCATAGTCTGCTCCCTCTTCCTTGTTTTTCTTAGTATGCTATTTCTTGAGAGCAAAAGGCTGGCATTTATATTGCAGGATACCAGCAACAATCTTGGATTTCTTTTTAAACAGTTTATTGAGATATAATTCACATATCATACAATTCACTCATTTAAAGTGTACAATCCAATAATTTGTAGTATGTTAAAAGTTATGCAACAATCACCACTATCAATTTTAGAGCATTTTCACCACTCAAGAAAGAAATTCCATAACTATTATAAATCATTTTCAATTCTCCCCCCTTATTACCTATCCTGCTCCTCCCCACTCCCAATATTTTTTCTTTCTTTCTTTCTTTCTTTTTTTAAAATGAAAACATCTTTATTCTAATAAAAATTACATTCTGGAAACCTGTAATAAACTGCTAACCATTGAAATATTTTATCTGTTTCCTTTAAATTTGGAAATCAAACTAAGATATTTTCTCACTATTTTCTTTTTGTTTCTAAAATTCTACATGCTTCCTTTCTTTTCCTTTTTTTACATTTTATTGAATCACAAAATATCTTTATTAAATACTTTTAATAGCAAGTTCAGCTGATATATACATATCTGTGAACACATGTCCGATGTTAGGCATGAAACTCAGTGAGTAGAGTAAACATACTATAGTAGCACCTAGCTGAGGCTATTTAGCTTACTGTGGTCATTAAATAGGTCTTTTTAATGTATTTTTTAATTTTAAGAAAAGCAGTTTTAGCTTTAATAAATAAAAATTTTAAAATGTTAAGAGAAATTTGCTTAAGATGTAAAGCCAAGAAAAAGATTAGAATTCTGTTCAAATAGTAAGTAGATGAGCTTATTAACAGCTCAAGAGAAGACAAAAATTCTTAACTCTGGAAAACAAAGCATAGAAGAAAATCAGTAATGTTTTAGTCAAAAGTCATAAAGTTATATTTCACCAGTTCAGTCTCATGTAATTAATCTCTCTTCTTTTGTGGGTTTCTTACCTTATTTAAAGGTTTTCACTGGATATATTAGCAGACATCATCTTCTTTAGCGAGAATGAAGTTTTCCAATTCTGTTAGCTCTTTGGGTCCCAGGCAAAGACAGAGCGTTGTATCGTTCGGTACAGGAATATCTTTTTTTGGACAATAACTAATTCAAGAATGCTCAGACTAGCATCCGCAATGCAGTTCTGAACAGACAGGCACTTTCGTCCTCCAGTTCTCTTTGGCCTCTGACAGGAACCGTCCTTATTACCCAGTAGCAGCCAGACATGACAGTGGGCCAAGACACCCTGCTTCATGGGAAATGTTGTTTATTCCCACCGTGGATTCAGACCACATAACCTTTCCATTCTTCATTCTCAAGCATCAACAGCAACTTCTGTGGCCATCAGTTTCTCATGAAAAGTTTGGGGACCAGCAGGTAGCATAGTGGTTGGGACCTGGACTCCTACATGGTTGACTGCAGTTTGGGTCCCCTACCTGGTAGCTCGAAACTCAATGCTGGGTGTGTGGGCATGTGTGCCCCAAATCCCGGGGAGAATGGAGGAAGAAGAGAGTGCAGTGTGGCCATCATTCCTTTATAGCAAAAATGTCTCTTAAAAAAATAAAAAGTGTGAGGTTTGCATTCATTCACCATCCTCTGCTATATGTATCTGGCTGGGAAGGAGATGTTCAGCTTCACTTTAAAGTGAACTAACCTCCACCAAGGCACCATGAAAAAGAGCTAATTTAGATGAATTTAAATGTAAAATAGTGACGTGAATCTGTGGCTTCAGTATTCATACTGATCGAGCTAAAGGAACTATGTGACCAAAGGCACAAAGCTCGGAGGAATGTCAATCAAGTTAAACCGGTTTATAAGGTAAATGGGAGATCTAGTAGAAAGTGAAAATATGAGGGTGATCTGGTCATATTAGTCCTTAAAAGGGGGCACACCGTATTCACTGAGCTTACGGAGAACCATCAGAAGTGACTGAGCTGGGCTGTCACAAGTACAGATACAAAGACAGCCCTGAAAGACAGCTCTGAAAGCCTTGATGAAGGATGCACTTGATGTCTGAACATGAGTTGGGCAAAGTTACAGTGGTCCAGAGAGAATTGGGGCTTAAAGCTGGGATCTGAAAATGGGAATAGAAAGCTGGGGGTTTGAAAGTCACTTCAGGGGTATAGTAATCCCCCCTTATCCACAGACTCACAGTCGCTGGTTTGAGTTACCTGGGTTTCAGTTATCCATGGTCACTGCTATTGCAAACATTAAATACAAAATTCTACACATAAACATAAGCTTTACATTTATTGTTGTTTTGGTGTTAGTGTTAATCTTTCATTGTGCTTAATTTATAAATTCAACTTTATCAGATGTATATGTGTATGGAAAAAGCATAGTATATTGAGGGAACTTCAAAAAGGTCATAGGATTTGGGACCACCAAATGGCATAATGGTTACATCACTGGACTTCTACGTAGTCGATTGCAGTCGGAGACCCAGACCCAGCAGCTTAAAACTCACACTTGGGCATGTGTAGGTGTGTGTGTGTGTGTGTCCCTGAAATCCTGAGAGGAGACTGGAGGAGAAGGGAATTACAGTGTGGCTATCCAACTTTGGGGAGTGATTTCTCACTTTGTCTTTCTCTCTCCAGCAAGTGCACACACCCTATAGCAAAAATCTCTTTTAAAAAACAAAAGTTCATGAAACTAAAGAATGATCTTAATTTGGATGTGGAAAAAAATCAAAAAGAAATCCATGCATAGTTGTTTTTTCCTAAAATGCATTTTCCATAACTTTCTGAAGATCCTACATATGTAGGGTTTGGTGCAGTTTCAGGCATCTGCTGGGGTTTTAGAACACACACTGTGGATAAGGGTGACCACAGTAGGACTAAGCTGTATTAATTTATTGTTCAAGCTGACATTTTAAAAAATGAAAATGGAATTATTAATAATTATTTCCAATATCTATTGAGTTATCGGAGAAGTCATGACACTTTTCTGCATAGAGACGTACATTGTAACTTTCCTGATGGTGTAATATAATTATGGATAAAAGCTATGAAATAGGACTTACCCAAGTAAATTGGGATATTTGTTTATTCTAGTAGAATAACATCCAGGGGACCAGCAGTTAGCGTAATAGCTATGTCGCTGGACTCCCATGTAGCTGACCACGGTTCAAGTCCCAGACCCGGTGGCTTAAACTCACGCCGGGTGCGTGTGCGTGCGTGCCCAAGATCCTGAGAGGAGAAGGGATTGCGGCATGGCCATCCCCCCTGAGGTGTGGTTTCTCGCTTTCTGTCTCTCTGTCTGTCTCTGTCTGGCTGGCGAGTGCACACGCTGTATAGCAAAAACCTCTCCAAAAAAAAAAAAAAGAACAACATCCAGTAAGATAGGGATAAATTAAAAGAAGGGCCTCATTTACATGATTGAGAAGATGATAATGTTATTCACTGAACTAGAGAACAGGTAGGAAAGTGAATAAACATTTAAGGGAAAGGATTGGTTTTGAACCTGTGAAATCTGAACTTGTTGACTGAAAAACTGAAAAACACTTAGCTGATTGCCTAGAAGGTTACTTTGTTCAGAAAGAATTTTGAAATTTTATATTCATCCTTAATAAAACAAGAATGGTTTTATTTTGTTTTCTAGACTTGAGTCTACTGCACGTACATCAGAAAGCTCAGAAGAATTTCCAGAAGAAGAACCTGAACCGAGAGTGACAGAGTTTGAGGATGAAAGTAGTGATAAAGATACACGGCCAGGACCAGAAACCCAGACACGCCCAGAGAAGCAAGATGGTGAAAAGGTATGAGAGCACTTCTAGATCCAGTGAATGAAAGCAAACTAAAACCTAAGTTTCTTAATCATACATTGTTAGCAAAATATATATTTTATTAGAGTTTTAGTAGAAACCGTGTTTAGTGTTAAAAAGCATATATTAAGCAAGGTCAGGTTCTATTGTTGGGGAGAGGATATAGTAACAAGTATAAAGAATTATTTATGTTCCTTTTGGCCAGAACCGCCATCTTCCAGTAATTAACCAAAATGATGAACACAAAGAGAAATAGGAGAGGCACCCAATATATGTTCTCTAGGCCTTTTAGAAAACAGAGTGGTTCCTTTGGCAACATATATGCGAATCTACAAGAAAGGTGATATTATGGACATTCAGGGAATGGGTACTGTTCAAAAAGGAATGCCCCATAAATGTTACCATGGCAAAACTGGAAGAGTCTACAATGTTACCCAGCATGCTGTTGGCATTGTTGTGAACAAACAAGTTAAGGGCAAGATTCTTGCCAAGAGAATCAATGTGTGTATTGATCATATTAAGCATTCTAAGAACAGAGATAGCTTCCTAAAACGTGTGAAGGAAAATGACCAGAAAAAGAAAGAAGCCAAAGAGAAAGGTACCTGGGTTCAACTAAAGCGCCAGCCTGCTCCACCCAGAGAAGCACACTTTGTGAGAACCAATGGAAAGGAGCCTGAGCTACTGGAACCTATTCCCTATGAATTCATGGCATGATGGGTGTTAAAAATAAACTAATCTGTGGTCTATAAAAAATAAATATTATTTATTAATGTTATTTATTATTATTATTTTAATTTGCTATAAGAGCACATATGATCATCACAGGGAGAGTGGGAGAGGGAGAAAGCAAGCTCCCAAGCCAAGTGGGAGTCCAGTGCCTAAACCAGCACACCACCTGTTGGCCCCATAAATATGATTTTTAAAAGTTTAAGTTACATCAAAGATATAATAAAGGATGTTTACATTGTACCAGTGCATTTAAAACATAAGTGAGGGACCATGAGATGGCATAATTGTTATGTCCCTGGACTCCCATGTAGTCAACCATGGTTTAAGTCCTAGACCTGGTGGTTTAAAACTTGTGCTTGTGCGTGCATGCCCAATATCCTGAGAGGAAACCGGAGAAGGAATTGTGGTGTGGGTATCCTCACTGAGGGCTGATTTCTTGCTTTCTGTCTTGTCTTTCTCCAGCAAGTGTACATGCCATTAGCAAAAATCTCTTAAAAATGAATGAGTGAATGAATTTATGGAATTGAACACACTTTAGGAGCTACATAAATGACGTGACTGTAAAGTCTACCTTACAGAACCAATTAGAATATCTCCCGTTCAACAAGCCCTCAATTGCACTCCTATTTCTGTTAGAAGTATAGGAATTTGTTATCAAAAAAAGAAAAAAAGGGACCAGCAGTTGCCATGGAGGTTAAGGCACTGGATTCCACATAGCTGGCTGTGCAGTTTGAGTCCCAGACCTGGCAGCTTAAAATCATGTTGCGTGCATGAACATATATGCCCAGAGTCCTCGAAGGATAAAGGCGAAGGAATTGTAGTGTGGCTATCTTCATTGAGGGTGAATTCTCTCTCTTTCCTCTCTGTCTCTCTCTCTCTCTGGCAAGTACACACACCCTATGGCAAAATTAAAAAGAAAATAGAAATGGACTGCAGTTGATCTCACAGATCCTGGGAAAAATTCTCTCTCTCTCTCTCTCTCTTTTTTTTAAGAATTATTTTATTTTATTCATTGTCATTATTTTACTTTTTTTTACCCATAAGGTGTGTGTGCTCGCCAGACAGACAGAGACAGAGAGACAGAAAATGAGAAATCACCCCCCAGGGGGAATGGCCACATCACAATCCCTTCTCCATTCTCCTCTCGGGTTCTTGGGCACGCACGAACATGCACCCGGCGTGAGTTTAAGCCGCTGGGTCCAGGACTCAAACTGCGGCCGACTACATGGGAGTCCAGCGACATAGCCATTACACTAACTGAGGGTACCATCATTATTTTACTTTTTATTTTATTGAAGTTGACCAGAGAGAGAGAAGGAAAGTGAGAAACTAAGCTGCCAGGTCTTGGACTCAAACTATGGTCAGCCATGTGGTGTCCAGCCACCTTAACTACCATACCACCTGCCATCCCCAGTTCTCTTTTTTGGAGGGAAGATTTTTGCCATAGGATGCAGGTGCTCACTGGAGAGAAACAGAGGCAGGGAGGGAAAGTGAGAAATTATCCTCCAGAGAGAATGGCAACAATGTAATCCCTTTTCCATTCTTCTCTTGGGATTTTGGACACATTTGTGCCTGATGTGTGTGATTTTCAAGCTGCTGGGTCTGGAACTTGAACCATGGAGTTGGCCATGTGGGATCCAGTGTCTTAGCCACTGCACCACCTGCTGGTCCCAAACTAAACTAATTTTTTAAAACAAAACTGCCAGATGAGGCCAGGAGATGGCATAGTGGTTACATTGCTGGACTGCCACATGGCCAACCATGATTCAAGTTCCAGACCTGGTGGCTTGAAAATCACTGAAGTGTAGGGACCAGCAGTTGGCGTAATGGCTATGTCGCTGGACTCCCATTTTCGAGTCCCGAACCCAGTGGCTTAAACTCATGCTGGACCTGTGCATGCCCGCCCAAGATCCTAAGAGGAGAATGGAGGAGAAGGGATTGTGGCGTGGCCATCCCCCCTAGGGGGTGATTTTTCACTTTCTATCTCTCTGCCTTTCTGGTGAGTGCACACACCCTATAGCAGAAAAAAAAGAAGAAAAAAAATCACCAAAGTGTGTGTGTGTGTGTGTGTGTGTACCCAAGATCCTGGGAGGAGAATGGAAGAGAAAGGATTGTGGCATGGCCATTCCCTCTGGGAGTGATTTCTCACTTGGCCCCTCACTGTCTCTGTCTTTCTCTCTCTGGCGAGTGCACATGCCCTAAGGCAAGCATCTTAAAAAAAAAAAATGGGTAAATCCTTTGTGGCTAAATAAACTCTTCATCTGCCTTGACTTCTACAGTTCAAGTATTTATGTCTCTTTTCTTCCTCTCTATCCATTTAGTATTCTTTTCATATTTTTATTTAATATCTTTAATTTTTTTCCTACAGATTACTATTTCTTCTTTCATGCATACCTAAGTTTTTTGAAAAATCTTTTACATGTTTGCCTAGTCTAGGCACAGGTGAATAAGTGAAACTATACATATCACTTCTTTTTTTAAAAGAATTGTTTATTTACTTTTATTTATTCATTCATTTATTTTAATTTGACTAGAGAAAGACAGACACACAAAGAGAAAGAAGTGAGAAAGCAAGCCACCAAGTCTGGGTCTTGAACCATGGTCAGCCATGTGGGAGTGTCCAACACATTAACCACCACTCCACCTGCTGGTCTACCTATTTTATTTCCTTAAGTCATTCAGTTTAGTTCCTGCTTTCTCTACTTCATTAACTGTATTTTTGAATAGTATTTTTCTTATAGAAAATTGGGAAAGTAAAGCATTCATGAGAAAATAAAGTACCTATTTTTTAAAGACAGGATTTATATATATATAAATGTTTATGAAAAAATGTTTTTTTCTTTTAGAAAGTTAAGAGTGTACTGTAAATACTGCATGCAGCCTGTTTCATCCGGTGAGATACTGAGCACATACTCATACAGGTCACCTGTGACAGACCTCCATTTTAATTTCAATGGCTTTTCTTATTTGGATTGATTAATTTTTAGACATTTGGCTTTAGAGCACTACTGTAAACAGAAGTAAATTTATAAACATTGGATGGATTTCAGAAATTGGAGAGTTTGTGTCATCAGATTGTGTGCCCATATTTTCATAATGAGATGCAAGAGTAGGACTGTTCAGAAATGGTCCTGGATTGGTCGACACTGCACTAGCTGAGGCTGGGACTCTTCTCCCAGTAAGCAGGGTCACCTGTGCTCAACTTCCCATGAGACTGTAGTGCCACCTCCCTCTAGCAATAACTGTAAAGTCCCATGGACCCTGAAGGTTCCCGGTGCTGGGATTCTGTACAAAGCTAGCATCAAGTCTAGACTCCCTCTGGTACTTTTTACTGAAAATATTCCTTCCCTGATTGCCTATAAGAAGGAAGAGCAAGAAGCAGTCAGGATCTTTTCACCGAATCTCAGGCCCAGAACACTGAGCATCCTGGTCCTGCCCTCTCTCTCTGTAAGAACAGTGGGAAGATAGAGGGTGTTCATGGATTCTTTCTTTGGCTGACTATGCCTCCTAAGTTTCTCCTTTCCCCCAGGAAAACTAGTCTTTAACCTCTGCCCTGTAATGTGGTAAATTTATCTCAAGTCTTCGTACATGACAGACACTGAGAAGGGACTCATCATTACAATTACTTTGTAATTATATCCTGACTTTCCCCCTCCATGGTGTAGGAATCTGAGTCAGAGCCTATGAATGGTGAGATAATGGATGATACTCTAAAGACCTCACTTATAACTGAGGAGGAAGACTCCACCAGTGAAGTTTTAGATGAAGAATTAAAGTTGCAGTCTTTTAATTCTAATGAAGACTCTACAAATCTTGTCCCACTGGTGGTAGAATCTTCAAAACCCTCTGAGGCTGTTGTGGCAGATAAGGTAAGGAGAAAATAACCTATTTTTTTTATAGTGGAAAGGATGTGCCAGGGTTGATGACTTTGGGAGGTAGAGGGTATGATATGTCTACATTTTCTCCCGCCTTAATATATTTAAGCCTCTGAAAATTCTCTCTGCTTTTTTTTAAGAATGATTTTGTTTTACTTTATTTATATTTATTTTAGTTTGACCAGAGAGAGACAGTGAGAGAGAGAGGGAGAGAGAAAGTGAGAAAGAAGGCTGCCGGGTTCAGGACTCGAACCACAGTTGACCATGTGGGAGTCCAGCACCCTTAACTACCATGCCATCTGCCAGCCTCTGAAAATTAACTTTTATACTAGATTTGAAATTATAAGAAAATGTAATTTGTAATATCCCATAAACTTAAAGCTTTATAACCTTACTCACATCTGACTTATAATAACAAAAGAGGTTTTACTTTGTACACTTAGAAAAAAGCTTAGAAAAATGGATAAAGCATTATAAATATGTGTGTACCTATTGCTTGCATAGTCTTTGATCCACACTGTAATTTTAATTTGTTTTAATGAGAGAGACACATTGGGGAAGGGGGGACCTTGGAATATCTTAAAAGAAATTTAATTTTACTACTTTTGAATATTCTAGTTTAAGGCTGGAGAGCTATTATATGCAGCATTATTTTATTAGTATACTCATTGCACATAACTATCATCTAATGAACCATAGTCAGACTCCTGGGGTGGCACAATGTCATGTAGGTTGCAAGGAATTCTTGGTTCTGTCTTTAGTAATACTAGAAAACTAAAAGCTTCAGATTCATGGTTTGAGAGAGAGAGAGAGAGAGAGAGAGGAGAGAGAGTGTGTGTGTAAAGAATCACAGGCTTTTAATTGGTTTTAATTTTTATGCTTGTAAAGGTGTGATCAAATCAGGTAAGAGTGGTAGGGGATATTTTTCCAACTCTTTGAGTGTAAACTCAAATTTTAGGTTCTTTGGAGTAAAGTGGACTCTTTACTATTATAAGGTTATTCCCAATTTGTAAAAATTCTCTCCATATTTTTGTCTATATTCCTTTATTCAATCTTACCTGCCATATTCAGACAGACAGAAAGCATATATATATATATAGTTTTTTGTTTCATCTGTAGTGATAAAGAATCTTAATAGAAAGTTTAGTGGTCATAAATACTATTTGAGGTAAAATACTTTTACTATATCTTTAAAAAACTTAAATGTATCAAAATAACCATGTGAGAGTTTTGAAGAAATTGTGTTATATTCAGAATACATACACAAAATTAACAAAAGTAATGAAATCTTTACATTGTAATTCAGTGTCGTTGTGTAATGTCTGAGAATATATTAGAACCATATTGCAAAAGTTTATTTGTTGACCAGGTTTTTATTTTCAGACCCCACAAATAACTGATTCAGAAATGTTGATAGAAGAAGACCCATCTGATGAAAAGGGGCACAATGAAGAGAAACTGTCCCCCGTTTCAAGAAAGAAAGCACATTTGGGGAGCTCAGACAATGTTGGGACTGTCTCAAATGAAGAACGATCAGACAGTGGCTTTCCAAACTCGGTAATAGCTGAGTTTTCTGAAGAACCGGTCTCTGAGAATGTATCACCTAACACTACTTCCTCATTAGAAGATCAGGGTGAGGAGGGGGCATCTGAGCCCCAGGAGACATCTACTGCTCTTCCTCAGAGTTCTCTGATAGAGGTTGAACTTGAAGATGTGCCATTTTCACAGAATGCAGGACAGAAGAACCAGTCGGAAGAGAAAAAAGTCTGAAGCATCTTCTGAGCAGCTGGATCAGTTCACACAGTCAGCAGAAAAAGCTGTGGATAGCAGCTCGGAGGAAATAGAAGTGGAAGTGCCTGTGGTGGACAGGCGGAATTTAAGAAGAAAGGCCAAGGGGCATAAAGGACCTGCTAAGAAGAAAGCCAAGCTGACCTGAAGAAGAAATGCAGATGATAAATCCTCTCCTTTGTAACATAATTATTGTTTTTAAAATGTGGTAATTAATAAACAGCATGGGGGCACAGGACAGAAATTTCCACGATTTCGATTTGAAGTTATTTACTATGCAGTTTTTCTGTTCCCTTTAGGACCTAGGATTCATCATTCTTTTTAATTTTTGAATATTTTGTGTAAATGCAGTTTTTTATTTTTATTAACCATGTTTCAACTTGGGAAAACTAGATCATATTATATTTTCTTTGGCAGGTGGAATATCTGACCATTAATATTTCAAAAAAATAAAATAAAAAAACTGCAAGTAGTAGGTTTTCCATGACAGGTAAGGATCACGGAAATCTTTTATACTAGGGCTTTTAATAATAAAACTGGGTGAGGGAATCCGGAAGTTTTATGTTGGATATTAAAACTAATCACCATTCTTTTTTAAATGTAGGCATGCCTAAATAAAGATAAATGCCAGCAAATCGGAATATAACTTAAAATAAATGAGAGCACAAAAACAGAACCTTATTTGAAGGTGAATGAAGATGTTATTTTAGTTTTGGCCTTTTAATCCTACATGCTGTTTTCATTCCACTTCAGTGTCTGTGGAAAGGTACACACAAAATCTGTTTCTGACTCACTTTTGATATCATCTGATATTAACAGTTCTGCTAGGGATTTAATGTGGCATGTAGGCACTAATACAGTTATTTCGAATTTTGTTTGAAGTATTAGCTATACTTTTTTTTTTAATCTCTGCATATTTGCAAATGCTTTTATAAGCATAAAGAGTACACTTGCACATGTAACAGGTAAAACATTCCAGTTAATATAACTTAGGGATATAGTTTAACTTGGACCCTGTGGTCCTGATTTAGAGATAGATGAATTTAGCAGGAGACTATACATTTGTCCTCACCCCATTAGGAAGTATGAAGCTCTTTCCTAAGGCTTCCCCTTAATCCTGCCACTGCCCCGTTTCTGGAGTCTTATTTAAATTCTCTTCAGCTTTGATCTACTCTCTCAGTGATTCTCCAACGGAAATACCTACTTGTCTGCCTGCCAGCTTATGCCTTGGGTGTACATTTTTGGGTAGGTTTGGAACTGTGCCAATCTTAGACCTGGACAGCTTGGAGTAAAGCTGCCTAAGGAGCTGGAATTACACAAGCTTAAGTCATCTTGGGGGCTTCAGATGTCCCTTTGGTCTTGCTCACTCTTTTTTTTTTTTAAATTTAACTTTATTTATTATCATTATCATTGTTATTTTCCAGTTTGATCAGAGAGAGACAGAGAGAGGAAGTGAGAAAGCAAGCCACAAGGTCCGAGACTTGAACCGTGGTCAGCCATGTGGGAGTCCAGCACCCTTAACCACCATGCCACTTGCTGGCCCCTGGTCTTGCTCACTCTTGCTTTTTTTCTGTGAGAATTGGTTGCAGACTAGCCTGTTGTATGCACATTGTGCATAACACATAGTATGGTGTGTACATTGTATTGCCATAGCAAAGGCCTTTGCCTAGGAAAATCAGAAAAAAAAAAATCCTTCGATGGTCAAATTTGGCATACTAAGCTATTTTAAAATGAACAAAATGGTTATTCTTAGAATCCAAAGAGAATATCAAAATAATCCTCATCTTTGTAGGTATTTCATGTATTCAGTAGTTTGTACTTAAATTGTAGGATGTCTTCAGACCATTTAGACTATTTTTAAAACAGCTTGATCCTTATATGAAAGAAACATGACTTTGTGTCATTATTTGAGGTGCTTAAGGATTGATGTTGAAGGTTCATTCTGTCTATAGTCAGTTAATGTCATTAAATTTTATTTTGGGATGTTCATATTTTAGAAAGATCTAATTAGTTAACTCATTAAGCAGGTGAAAGAGTGAACCCTCCTATTTGTCTAAAATTTTGAACACTGTATCCCTTCCATTTACTTTAATTATTGGTCAGAGGTAATCCAGATTATTTCATTCTAAATGAAAAAGCATTTTGGCCATTTGCTTTCTAAACAAATGTTAATTAAGTCAAAGTATGACTCCTACTAGAACCTATCAAATGTTCATGTTATTTTATATATTTTATGTGACAAAATTCTGTTGATATCATAGAGAAATAACTAGACTCTGTTAAGATTCAGCAAATTTGTATTTTTTCATCTTAAAATAGATTTAAAACAATTTAAAAACAATTTACTTGGACTACTCATTTTTTTAAAAAATACTTTCTATAAACAGGTGGTTTTTACAGAATATTTGAGCTTACTGACAGTTCTTAAAGGGTGACTACAGTTGCTGAGTTTATAAAACATTTAGTTAATTCATATCTGACCACCAGGGACGAACAGCATAAACGTACTTGGCAACCCTATTTGGTTTAAACAATAAGTGGATTTTAAACAATTCCAAGACTTGTTCAGTACACATGAATACTTGTTACATATTATCTCTAACAGAAAAATTTGGGGGCGCTTTATAGATCATAGAGTACTAAGTCAGGTCACATGGAAAAAAAACCTAACTTTCATGTTAGAAACATGAGTAGAATTTATAAAATTTATCATCGATAATGAATCTATTGATAAACTTAATGAGATATTTGTGATTCTTACAAGGCATTAGGAAAACTTTCAGAATTACAGGACTGAAATGTGATTTTAAGTGGCTAGTCTACTTGTTAACTGTCCAGTCACATTCTACAGTCCTTTGTGAGCTGACTTTTTTCTGTTTAGAAGTTGTTTGTGAAGAAGGGAGTTCACTTTTTGTGTACATACATATATATTTCCTGTGTAATAATAAAAGTTATTAGCAAAATTTTAGTTCAGTTTAGGCATCACAGAAAATAGTGTATTTAAGAATTTATTATAAAGCTTCTCTACAACTTTTAAAGATCAGAGGTTCTATGATTTTTTTAATAAAATTTAATGGCATGACTTAGAATGTCAGTCTTCTACTGAAAATGTATCTATATTCATGGTATCTTCATTCAGTGCAGAGATGGAAAGGATAACATCTAGCTATTAATGGTTTACTTTAAGCAAGCTACAAGAACACCACTAAGACGGTTTCAGTGAAAAATATCTAGGTTTACAATCGCACTGAATAGAGCCTTTATCTAAATATCTGCCCTTACGTTCTGCTTTACTCTTTGGAATTACCTTCTAAGGTTTGGTCACACCAGCAAACAGATCTTACTGTAAATAATTTACACTAACATTACTCATCTGTGTACCAGTATTTTAGAAACGTATTTCTGCGTGTGTGTCCAATAGTAGCACTACGGTGTTTCAGGTGTGATCGTTTTTCATGGATGCAATTAAAAATGTTATACTTATGTTTTCATGTTTAGCGTCAAGCTTTTTTTATACATTATGAGAGTAATTTGCTTATTTTTTGGTTCTAAAAAATAAGCAGTTCTCATTTCTGTGGTATCCAGTGATTAGTCAGTTTTTCTTTTTGTTTTTTTGTAACTTCTGCACCTTTCAGAACTTGTCTTTCACATATTACCCATTTTTAGCAGCAAAATCATTGGTTAAAATTTGATTATAAGAAAGGTTCAGCTTCTGCCATCAAGTGCTTGTATCATGCTGGACTGTCATTTCAAAGGAGCTAGCCTTTCTTTTCCTGTGTGTACGTGTTCTAAAACTGTTTATAGAAGTTAGGGAACATGTTACATTATTCAGAATTGCAGTCTTACTGGAGTAATCATTTGTTCTTAGTTTATTTTATTTTCTTTAAAAGTTTAAAAGTAGTAATTAAACCTATATTTTGTGATTGTTTCCTGGTCTGTGTTTTGATGTTCTTTACCTTCTTTTTCTCAATTTTGGTCAAGATGTGTTTAGATAATGAGTTTGTTTAGACATTGAATGATTTTGTTAAAGGCACAACTATTCACATTGGTTGTACTTTGAAGACAGACTTAAAAAAAAATAAACAGATTTTAAAGCTATGTGGTGATTATGGATTAATATAAAGATACCTTTAAAGCTCAAAGCCATAAACATAAAATTCAGATCAAGAAGTGCTTTGACCAAATTACAACCCTAAAACATGGCCTTTTAATATTGTTTAAATAACTGCAAATAATTTCCAGGGTATCGATAAGTCTTTTTTCTTTTAAAACTAAACTGGAATTATTTAAAAGAATTTTTAAATAACCATTCTCAAAGTATAAATATACTACTCTAGGTTTAGAATATAAAAAATGCTAAAAAGTACAAATATTTTTGGTTTCTTTTCCTATCTTTTTTGTGTTTTAAAAGTTTCAAGTAGGTATTACTACAAATGGTGAGAAGAAAAAAAATGTTTCGGATACTATAAATTTACTAATTGTACAAAGTATCAATCACAAAAGATTTATCTAAGTTCTCAATATTTCCTACTAGTATAGTGTGCCTTCTTGCATATACATTTAATGCAGATACTTTATGAACAGTATAAACAATGTTAATGGTACATTTTTTTTTAGGATTAATGATGAAGAATACACTAGAAGAGATGTCAGGTAAGGTCTCAGACATGACAAAATTTCCTAGCCTAGGCCCCGTAATAAGTGCATTAACCAAATGTGTTTTCAACTGCACTGGTAGTTTTTCCAGTAATGACAGATCTGCATTGCTAAATATCCACTCTTTAAAGCAGATACTAATGAAGTAGCATATTTGTACATTTTCTTCTTTCAATTGTAAATCCTAAGTAGACACCAAAACAGAGACGTAATTGTAAAACCAGGCCACTTTAATGTTTTTGTACAATTTAATAAATAATCTTTTGATTATTTCTGACATGTAAGACCAGCTATATTCAGAAACATCAGTCATGATGGTTTTCCAGATGGTGTATCATCTTCAAAATTAGAAGGAGTTATTTGTATGCAACTGCTATCAAACCAGTAAAACAGCATTTATACATCCATCATTTTCAGGATTGTTGGTAACTTGGGCATATTTCCCTAAGGAAAACAAAACCAAAAAATTAGGGAAAAAAAAGAGGACAGAGGGATGTTATCTAGTAAAAAATTAATTTCAAAGAATGAGATTTTATAAAATGAAATCACTCAAGGTTAAACTTTAATTGTGAATAAAATTGTTATACATATAAGATACTTCTTTTGCCAACAGTGGTCTGCTCCATTCTGTTAGTACAACAGGCCTTTGTGGATTGACCTGGGCATTGCTACTTCCACCCAACTCTTTCTGGAAAAATGCATCAGGTTTTAAATGATCTTCAAATAAGCTTAACCTATTTTAAAACTGAGGTCAGCTTTCACAAACCACTGACTAAGTTACAGAACATATTCTTCTCTTTCAGAGAACACAATTTACAGAAAAGTGAGCACCCAAAGCAGAAACAGATGAGGAAAAAATAAAACTGCTACAGAACACATTCATTTTCATTATTACTGAAATGGTGTGGTTATGTTTGATGTATGCCTCTCTT